GGATGCGAACCGTGGTCGACTACATGGGAGTCCAGCGACATAGCCATTATGCTAACTGCTGGTCCCGTGCCTGGTGAGAGTTTTAAGCCACTGGGTCTGAGACGCAAACCATGGTTGATTGCATGGGAGCCCAGTGACATAGCCATTATGCCAACTTCTGGTCCCAAGTTCCAAAACATTTTTAAAGTGAAAAAGAAAACGGAAAGGGATCGAGGAAGGAAAAAAAAGAGAAATAATCCCATTATAATACTGAACATTTGGACAATAGAAATGAAGAGGACAGACTTTGAGGTGATGATCGTAGCACTCTGACACAGGATAGTAGATTCGAGCCTGAGGTCAGAGGCAGCGTTTAGAAAGAAAAACTGAGGAGGCCATGAGCACACAGAAAGGGGGGGAAGCTCCGCTGGTTGGACGCTCATCAATACCTCATTCCCACTGGGCAAGCGGCCTTTGGAGAACATTTGAATGCCTGAGCCTTCATAGAATTGTAGCTTAATTTAACTTGAAGCTATGTGGAAGGGTAGTTGAGGAAATCTTGAAATAAAATACAGATAAGAGCAGATTATATTCTCTTACATGTAATTTAATTTGTATCTCTCCTCTCTTTCTTTGAACATGACTGGTATTTCTCTTAAAACCACAGGACAAGGAGTAGATGAGCCTCTTTCAGAAACGGGATTTAAACAAGCAGCAGCCGCTGGCACGTTTCTGAGCCGTGTGAAGTTCACTCACGCTTTCTCCAGTGACCTCACGAGGACGAAGCAGGTGAGCTTGCCGTCGGGGTCCAGGCCATGAATTGGAAGTCTCAACGGGTGTGTAAGCTTAAAATCTGCCACCAGAGCCTGCAGGGAGTTAAATCATACACAGACACTCTCTCCAGCCTGCCTTTATCCTCCCAAACTTGTTTTTTCTGTTCTCATTTCACTTTGTACCTTTTTTGGGTAATTTAAAGTCAATTTCTTTCTTTTTTGGAGTTTTTTATTTTATTTTTTTCTTTCCGCTATAGGGTGCGTGCGCTTGCCAGACAGACAGAGAGAGACATAGAGACAGAAAGCGAGAAATCACCCCCCAGGGGGGATGGTCACGCCGCAATCCCTTCTCCTCCATTCTCCTCTCGGGATCCTGGGCACGCACGCACACGCGTCCGGCGTGAGTTTAAGCCACCGGGTCCGGGATGCAAACTGCAGTCGACTACGTGGGAGTCCAGTGACATAGCCATTATGCTAACTGCTAGTTCCCTCTTTTTTTTTTTTTTTTTTTAATAATTATTTTTACTTAACTTTATTTATTTGTATTTTAATTTGACCAGAAAGAGACAGAGTGAGAGAGAGAGGAAAAGTGAGAAAGCAAGCTGCCAGGTCTGGGGCTTGATCTGCAGTCAGCCATGTGGAAGCCCAGCACTCTTAACCACCATGCCACCTGCTGGTCCTTTCTTTTATTGGCAATTTAAAAATTAGAGCTACTTAGAAGAAAATATCTAAGAAGAATACAAATAAGGTATCACAAAAGAGAGCAGAAATAGGCAGGAGAATTGAATCCATAAAGACATTAGATATTAGAATTACCAAGGACAACCTAAAAAACTATGTTACTATAAAGAAAGAAAAAAGGGCCAGCAAGTGGCACAAAGATCAGTGTGACTGGATCCCACATGGCCAGCTGCATGGTTCGGTCCCAAACTTGGCAGCTTGAAGAATACACCAGGCGCATGTGCGTGCGTGCCCAAAATGCCAAGAGGAGAATAGAGGAGAAGGGATTGTGGTGTGGCAATCCCTCCTGTGGGGTGATTACTTTCCCTCTCTTTCTCTCTGTCTATCTCTGGCAAGCGTACATGCCCTGTAGGAAAACTAAAATACAAACAAACAACAACATAAAGAAATATCTACAGAGAACAGACTACCATAAAAATGACCCCAGAGATTTATAAAAGAACCAAATTAACTTTCAAAATTCAGTGGAAGGAGACTTCAGTGACCAACCATGAGAGCATAATAGAGCTAGAATTTGACCTTTCCCACAAACAACTAAAAACCACAACAAAATATTGGGTCGTCTGGAAAAGTCATGATGTATTTTCCTGTACAAAAGTGCATCATGACTTTTCTAGATGACTCAACTGTGTCCAGACCTCTAAGTTCAGATATTCCAGGCCTCTGGTACCTGAATGAAGTGAAACAAATGGGGTGAGCCCTAGGACTGTCCTAGTTTTCCAGCTGAAGCAGTTTCTGGACGCTGATAGGGGAAGACCAGTAGAGCTCAGTGTTCTCGGTAAATTGAGGAGACAAAGGCTGGATTTTGAGGAAGTTACATAATTAAAATTCATACTATGGGACCAGCAGTTGGCATATGTCACTGGACTCTGATGTAGTCGACTGTGGTTTGAGTCCCAGACCCAGGGGCTTAAACTCATGCCAGGCGCTTGTGCGTGCGTGCCCAAGATCCCAAGAGGAGAATGGAGGAGAAGGGATTGCGGCGTGGCCATCCCCCCGGGGGTGATTTCTTGCTTTCTGTCTCTCTGTCTCTTTCTATCTTTCTGGTGAGCGCACGCCCCTATAGCAAAAACCTCTCCAAAAAAAAAAAATTCTTATTAGAAGAAAGAGCTGGGGAGAGTAAGAACTCTAGAAAGACGAGTGAGGATCTTAGGTCCTTGATGGACTGTTAATCTGGATGTGCCTAAAGTGGACACACATGATACCAGACAGCAGTTTCACGGGGAGAACAGTTTCTAAAGCTCACATGGGGTAGGGAATTGCTTGAGTTTCCACCAATCAAAACAGGGAGATACACAGAACATATAGGAGAGAATCCAGAAGAATCAGGCCTTAATAGTGCAGTTAAACTAAACTTAGAAGAATAAAAGAGAGAAATACACTTAGAAGAAAAAAGAAATAGAAGATACAAAAAAAAAAAATTTTTTTTTTTTTTTTGGAGAGGTTTCACTATAGGGTGTGTGCGCTCGCCAGACAGAGAGAGACATAGAGACAGAAAGTGAGAAATCACCCCCCAGGGGGGATGGTCACACCACAATCCCTTCTCCATTCTCCTCTTGAGATCTTGGGCACACACGCACACGCGCCCGGCATGAGGTTTAAGCCACCGGGTCCGGGACGCGAACCGTGGTCGACTACGTGGGAGTCCAGCGACATAGCCATTACGCTAACTGCTGGTTCCCACAAAAAAAAAAATTTCTTAAACAGAACCAAATTGGGGATCCTCTCTCCCTCTCTATCCTTCTCTGTCTCTCTCTGGCAGGTGTATGTGCTCTCTGACAAAGCAACAAAGACAGAAAACAAACTCTCTCCCAGAATGATGAGAAACAAGGAAAGACAAAACAAACTCTATATCAGGGGGACATTTTCATTTTAGCATAACCTTTCATTGAGAAGACAAGTCTGGTTATTTGGAAGTTCTTTTGTGGCCACCCAAACTATTAAATTGTAATATGACGGGCCAGGAAAGATGAGCCTCTTTACCCCATTGTAGATTTCACCTTTATTATTTTCTCCTTGCAAACAGGCTACTAAAAAATTCATTTTGGACTAATATTATTCTGAATGGAGAGCTTATCATTGCCACCCCATTCCCTCACTACACTCCCCTAGTGTTCCCGATGCCTTCTCTCCCCAAATATACATGGATTAAAAAAACAAATTGGGGCCGTCTGTTGACCTGAAGGTGAAGGCACTGGGTCCCCTGTGGCCAACCGCACAGTTCATGTCCTGAACTTGGAAGCTTGAATAATACACCTGTGTATGTGCATGGCCACAATCCTGAGACGAGACTCAGTCCCTTCTCCATTCTCCTGTCGGGATTTTGGGCACATATGTACCCGTGCCCGGTGTGAGTTTTAAGCTGCTGGGTATAGGATTCGAACCGTGGTTGACTACATAATTGTTATGTCCAGCGACATAACCATCATGCCATCTGCTGGCCCCCATTTTTCCTATTTTAATCTTTTTTCTTTCATAGTGAACTTTAAAATATCCTGTTACTATGTCTTCATATTCACTGACTACTTCTAGCGTCTAGCCTGCTGTTAATGCCATCTTGTGAAAATTTAATTTCAGAAAATTGTATTTTTCCATCTCTAGATAAATTTTGGTTTTTGTTTTTTTTTTTTTTTTTTTTTTTTTTTTAGTTTTTGGTATAGGGTACATGCCCTACCAGACTGAAAGAAGGGGCAGGAGTGAGAAATCACTCCCCAGGATGGAAATCGCCTCTCGGCGGGATGGCCATGCCGCAATCCCTTCTCCTCCATTCTCTTGGGATTTGGGGCACACGTGCATGAACGCCTGGCACGAGTGTCCAGTCGCCAGGTCTGGGACTGGAACTGCGATTGATCCCATGGGAGTTCAGTGTCTTAATCACTACGCCTCGTTTTGTTTTTATAAACCTCTTTTTTTAGTTTTGCTATAGGGAACATGTGTTTGCCAGAGACAGAGAGAGAAAGGAAAGAGAGACATCACCCTCCAGAGGGGATGGTCATGTCAGAATCCCTCTCCGTTCTCTTCTTGGGATTTTGAGCACATATACACATGTGCCCAGTGGGATTTTCAGGCTACCAGGTCCAGGGCTTGAACCATGCAGTCAGTCATGTGGGATCTAGCCACCTTAACTTCCCCACCACTCACTGGTCCTATTTTTTGCCTTTTTTCCAGTCAGTAGAATTTTGATAAAGGTGGCAAGGCAATTAATTCAGAAGAGAAAAGCAGTCTGCAGTAAATGAAGGTGATGAAATAAAAGGGTAACCGTGTGGAAAAACATGAATGTTAACCCATATCTCACAACTTATGTAGGAGCTAACTTGAAACTTGGGGGCCAGCAGGTGGCGTGATGGTTAAGGGCACTGGACTCCCTCATGGCTGATCATAGTTCGAGTCCTGGACCTGGCTAGCTTGCATTCTTGTTTTCCTTCTCTCTCTCTCTCTCTCTCTCTCTCTCTCTCTCTCTCTCTGTCCCTCTCTGGTAACATAAAATAAAATAAAGTTAAATAAAATTATTATTTGAAACAAAAGGCCAACTTGAAGCTGATTATAGCATACGTGTGAAAACTCAATCTAGGGACCAGTAGTTAGCGTAATGGCTATGTCGCTGAACTCCCATGTAGTTGACCACAGTTCGAGTCCCAGACCTGGTGGCTTAAATTCATGCCGGGCACGTGTGCGTGTGTGCCCGAGATCCCAAGAGAAGAATGGAGGAGAAGAGATTGCGGCGTGGTCATCCCCCTTGGGGGTTTATTTCTCACTGTTTATCTCTCTGTCTCTCTCTGTCTTTTTGGCGAGCACATGCACCCTATAGCAAAAACCCTCTCAAAAAGAAGAAACAAAAAACAAAAACTCAATCTACAAAATTCCTTTCAGAAACACTGTAGAAAAATCTTTACAACATTGGATTGGCCAAAATTTCTTGGGACAAGGCATGAGCCATAAAAGAAAAGTTTGAGAAACTGGATTTTAATGTAACTTAAACATTTCTGATGTTTGCAGAATATCATTAAGGAAGTGAAGAGAGAAGCCACAGGTTGGCATCAGTGCAATAACTGAATATTGTTTGCATGTTCTCTTCTTTGTTTGCTATAGGCCACATGCGTTCACTATAGAGAAAGAGAGAGGGAGGGAGAGCGAGCGAAGAGAGGGGGGAATTGAGAAATCACTCCCCAAGGGGATGACCTTGCTGCAGTTCCTTCTCTCCCATTCTCCTCTTCTCATATGCCTGGAGTGCTTCTCAAGCTACCGGGACTGGGACTTGAACTGCAAAAGTCAACC